TTCCTTTAGACATAACAAACCTCTTAATTGAATCTTTAGAACCAATACATGACTTAGAATTCATAATTTTCTTTAATTACTGCTTTAATTACTAAGTACTAACTCCATTTTATTTCTCATTTTTCCTTTAGTTTTGGAGCTCCCAATTTATATCATATAACAACATGACTTATAATAGATTTTGATAGGTAAATAACATTCAATAAGAAAAAAATTGGTCAAAAATTTAAAACATGAGAATCAATAAGTCCTTGTTATTTAATACCATGTGTTTAAGGATTTAGATGAAACCTATAGAAGTATTAAGTACTAGAACAATACTTGTTTAATTGAGTTAGATCAAGATTATTAAGTTATCATGCTTGATATTAAAAAGTTTTTTCTTTAACACCACCAAAGATGGATAATGAGTAGGCAAAATTTGAGGGTCTGTTTATTAAAGTTAACTTGATAATTAAAGATGAGCAAATACCAATCTTTATAATTTAAAGTATATAAGAAGAACTTTAGAAGGAATTAGTATTATTGTTACACATTTATAAAAACTATTTTACTTGAGATTATAATGTAATGTCTAAGTTACATAGAATTTTAGTTAAACATCATTTACCACTCAAGCTTGGGTTTAAGCACATAAAAAACCTTTATAAATAATATCTTTAAACATGATTAATCATATGAAGGAATAAATCAAATGCCTTATAGAAGTTAGATTTATGAGGCTAATAAGGTATGTTGAGTGGTTATTTAACATACTGCAAATATTAAAAAAAATATGGTAAATTAAAGGTATACATAGGTTTTAGAAATATAAATCTCACAACTTTAAAAAAGAAACATCTTATGCTAATGGTTGATATATTGATAAATGTAACATTTGGTACTAAAATACTCAATTTCATAAAAGATCACTCTAGTTATAATTAAATTTTGCAAGTCTAAAAATGTTAATATCTTATACCAATAGTTGATATGTACTTAACTTCATGGATTTTTGCTCTAGTTATAAACAAATCTTTATTATAAAGAAAGATATTAGTAAGACTGCATTCAGATGTTTTGGTTCATACAAATGTATGAATGAGTCAAAATATTATTTAGATAAAAAAAAAAGAATTATTGATGCAACATATCAAAAGACAATGAACTTGATCTCCCATAACATGATTAATTACAATACAAAGGTATATATTGATTATATTATGATAAAGTCAAAATCAAAATCTACCAACCTAGATGAACTACATGTTGCTTTTGAACAAACACGAATGAACAACTTAAAAATGAACCCTTTAAAAATGCTTTCATAGCGTGCAAGTAGATGATTTATTAGGATTCTTAGTATATCTATGAAACATAAAGGTTTATTAACAAGGTTTATTTTCTAAGGAAGTTCATTTTAAATAACACATGAAAAATTATAACATTTACTAAGTTATTGAAAGGAAAGAGCTATTATGAGTTCTAATGGAATGAAAAGCAATAAGTTTTCTTTAACGATGTAAAGACTTATCTAGCAAAACCTCTAATATTAGCCCTTACCAAAGCCTAACAAGCCTTTAATGTTGTGCATTTCAAAAACAGAGAGATCAATTGATAGCATGCTGGTATAAAAAAAATAACTCTAGGCATGAACACGCTATGTATTATTTTAGTTGTTTATTCACAAAGATTAAAAAATATTGCTAGGTATTCCATATTAAAAAAAAGTTGAATAACTATGTAATAATCATGTTTGATTGAGAAATTTCTAAAAAATAATTTGATACAGAAGGTCATAATCCTAATTTATCATAAAGATCCCAAGTTTGAAAAATGATCCCCTGACTAATTTATCTTTAATATTCATATAATATTAAATTAATTAATCTAATACTTGATTTATAAATTTAGAGTAAAGATAAAGTTCATGGAACAAAAATATTTTGCAAAGAAAATTATAAAGCTGTTATAATTATAAGATTTCTTGCATTAAAGCATTATCTCTAAAATGTTTATAGTCGGTGCTTTTTTAAATACTAGACATTTATAAGAGCTATACAGGCTATTACATATTATGTTCTTTTTTTTTATGAAAGAAAATAATTGTTCTAATAATCTGAAGTATAATGATTATATATAAAACTAATATGTAAGTGTTTGTTATAAAACATATATACTGAATTAACCCGCATGAGAAATCTATATGGAAAGATCATCTATGTCTATTGAATGACTCACATGACAATCGTGTAAGTGATTTTTAGACTTAATATCACTAAGTTATCTAATATAAAGAATGTTATCCTTTAATCATGTTACATGTTATCCTAATCGCGGTAACAAAGGAGTGAACATTAGGTATAATATAAACTATATGAAGGTATTTGAGTGATCAAGAGAGTATTCACCATCCATTTTATAATGTCTGAATTAAAATATTGTTGATAAAAGGATAATAATTACATTAAGAAACTAGTTACTAAAAAATTAAGTCAAACCACTTATAACTTTTCTGATATTTAGAGGATAATAATAGGTTGCTAGACATTTTATTTGATCTTCAAATATAAAAAAAGAAATTGTTGAATTAATAATAAATTATTTTGTTTAATTTATTTAATCTTATTTTATTTAAGATTATGATTTATATTAACGTCAACTTATTAGGGAACATATGAATCACAAATATAAAAACCATTGGTTAAAAATTAAAAAATAATGATTAATCAAGTGTGACTTGATTGTAAATAAATTTTAAAAATAAGGATTATAATGTAATTAATACAAAGGATTATAACTCTAGACCTATAAAAAATAATATAAGAACTTAATTAAATAAATTTATAAAATTAACATAAAATAATATATATATGATATTATTTAAGGATAAACTGATATTTTGTCATTTATAAGGTTTTTTTAGTTCCCTTATAAATAAAAAGTTATTATTTCTTAAGGTGAAAAAAATACAGTACTCAAACACTTGAAATACAAAAGCAAACACTCTATTGTATGTCAATCCATCTCTCCTTAAAGTATGGGTGATCATTTTTTGTTCGGTTCAATTTTTACATAAAAAAATTAACCAAACCAACATTATTAATTTAAAAATTTTAAAATTAAAACCCATTCAAATCTACTAGTTTTGATTCGGTTCAGTTCGGTTTTTGTTGTTCAAAAACTGGTAAAACCTAAAAGCAAATCTTGGTGCCAAGTGTCTACAAACGACAAGCAAATCTCGGTTTCTGTTATTCAAGAAAACAGATTTACTTTGTGCCCACAAACAGCAAATCTCGATGTTCAGTGCTCACAAATTACAAGCAAATCTCAGTTTCTGTTGTTCAAGAAAACAAATCTGCCCACAAACTACAAATAAATTATAACATAATAAAAAAAAATCACAAGATGCAGAGATGAACTTGAAATAGAGTTAGAATGTTAATCATCAAGAAGCCATCTCTTTTTTTATCTGCCCATGTAGTTGATTAAAATAAATGTTGATGCAGGGGTGAACTTAAAGAGATGAGAGATAAAAAGAAAAGGAGGGGGGGCTATGGGGAGAGATAAGAGGCAAAGAGAAAATAGGAGAAAAAAACAGAGAAAAGGAAAGGAGGGAGGGTTGCGAGAAGATGATGAGAGGCAAAGAAAAGGAAGGGAGGATGATGAGAGGTAGAGAAAAGGAAGGGTGACTCTGAGAAGATGATAATTGTAAAAAGATGATGAGAGGCAAAGAAAAGGGAGGGGGCTATGAGAAGATGGAGCGGTTGAAGAATGTTACTTTAGGTCTAGGGTTTTTTCTACTTATACTTGCTTCTTCTTTTTTAAGTGTTGACATGATTGGACCGGTTTGGTTTGGTTTGGTTCGGTTCAATCAGTTTTAGACTTTGGAAACCGAATTGAACAGGAACTTTTTTGTTATTTTTTAATCGGTTAATTTGGTTTTTTAGATTCAGTTTTTTTGGTTATTTTTTTTTAATTTTTTTAGTTTAATCGGTTTAGCGGTTTTTTTGTTCATTCCTACCTTAAAGTGTTTAGGAGATTTCTTACTAATAGTTCGTTTAGATTACTATTAGATATTGAATATTTGGATGACTTATAATTTGCAATAATTTAGCATTGAAGTAATTATTCAAAGTGAAAAAAAAATATGATTTTCAAGTTATAAAAACTCTAAACAACTTTAAATCTGTCTAACGAGATCTTTGAGAGTTTCAAAAAAATTTTAGATTTATATTTTTTTATTACATGTATGTGTTTTAAAAAACCTAATAACAACATCTATCAAAATTTCTAAATATAGCAAAATCCAAAGTATATATCATCCCATAAAAAAATATAGATATTCATAAAATTTTTTATAAAAAAGTAATGAAAAAATCTAATTGGATATGAGTAAGTGAATTTTATATTTGGTCCAAGTGAAATTTGATGAAATTTTATCTATAGTAAATCAAATTGAATATTACATTACGTGAGTGATATTAGTGATATTAGGCACCTAATTGGATAAAGCTGCCATCCCAATTTGCATTTGAGCTTGTTATTTAGTTTTGAAAGAAAAAAAGTAGTCAAGAAAATAATTGCAAGGGTAACATTTATCATTTTAAACAATGGATTGAGGGAAAACATTAATAGATATATTTAAAAAATATGTATTTTATCCTTCAATTTCTTTGGTAATGCATCATACATGTTTATATATCTAATTTGGTTTAATTCTAATACAAACTTTAAAAAATCAATCAACGGACCTTAATAAAGATGAATAAAGGAAATTGCCATAAAAATTAAGAATGAAAGAAGGATTTGATTGTAATTTTTCATATTATAAGAATAATGTGAAAAACATTACCATTGAGCGGCGATGAATATAATATAAAAAGTAGGATATTCTTAAAATTATTAAATTAAATTTGTATTTGGTTATGCAATAAAATTATTAAAAATATATATTGTTTAATTAAAAACTTTATTTTAATTAAAAAATCATTAATTTAGTACATTTCCTATCGCACAAACATATGCAGTACAAACGCAAAGGGAAAATACGGAACCAGTCATCCTCAGTGCATAATCCTTTCCTTTTCCCTCAACCAACATTTTAGGGTTTAGGGTTTTGAAAACCCCCGTTCGATCATTCATTCATTAAAGAATCAGCATCGTTTCACAATCTTCATCGTCTTCAATCAATGGCGACCGAAATAACAATCGAAACAGAGAGAACGCAGAAATTCTTCAACGACCTCGACGCGCGAAAGACCTTTCTATCCTCCTGCACCCAACTATTCACAACCTTGACCACTCACTTCAAATCCCTTCAAACCTCCCTCTCCCAGAAATCCCAATCCCTAGAATCCAAATTCCAGTCTTTAGAATCCAATTCCCAGCTAACCCTCGAATCCCTTAGTTGCAGAGAAAAATCCATACCGGAACGCGAGTCAGCTGCTGCTGCCAAAGTCGAGGAGCAAAGAGAGACCGCATTATCGGAGTTCCGAAATTCCCACTCTTTCGATAATTTGTCGGATTCGTTGAAGTCTTTATGTAGGAGAATGGATTCATCTGGGCTGTTAAGATTTGTAGTTTCGAAACGGAAGGAATCAGTGTTTCTTAGAGCGGAGATTTCACGTGCGATAATGGAAGCTGTGGATCCTGCGAGGCTGACTTTGGATGCAGTGGATGAGTTAGTAAGAGATAAAGTTGGGAAAGTTGGGGTTACAGATAAGAGGTGGGCATGTGGAATACTGGTGCAGGCTCTTTTCCCGGAAGGTAGTTGTTTTGGAAGGAAGGATAAAGGGCCGGAATTTGCACGTAGTGTGGTGGAGAGGGCTGCTGGGATTTTGGACAACTGGAAGGAGGAGGACGAGGTAGAGGAGAAGGCTGATGGGGAGGGCGGCGGCGGCGGCGGCGGAGTCGTGGGACCTGCGGAGGCGGTAATGTTTTTGCAAATGGTGTTGGGATTTGGGCTGAAGTCGAGGTTTGATGAGGAGTTCTTGAGGAAGCTTGTGGCAGAGAATGCATCAAGGAGGGATATGGCGAAGCTTGCAGCTGCTATTGGTTTTGGAGAGAAAATGGGAGGTATGTAGGATGTTAATTTGATCAGTGGGTTATTTGTTCTTCAGTGGTACTTGCTGTTCTGTGTGGTCAGTTCATATGAATGTCAGTGACATTTGTTGCAAGGTTTTTCTGTTCAACTCGCCACTATTTTGTACTTTTGGGCGTTGCCTTTTGTTCTATACCTTTTTTGTTTGTGAGATTCATTGTTGTAAATGAGATCATTGCATAATTAGTTGGCATCAAAGGACATAATAATCTCTCTCTTTGTGTGATTAGTAGACATGATACTATGAATCTGAAAGGGCACAGCTTTAGTATCTCCAAATACTATGTAAATTATGCCAAAAACGCTTTATTCTGTTTCTAAAGAGCTCGAGGCTAATGCTCTAAGAGTTGAAGTGCCTATGTTCAAAATCGTTTTAAAATGACCTGTATTATTGCATTTTTGTTCCACTAGAAATTTTTTCTGATGTTTTTGACATTTACAAATAATGCAAGGTCCTATCCTGGTGCTACTACATCTGCTTGGTGTGGCCTTATTAAGTTAATTGGGTATTTGCATAATGTTTCCAGGCTGATGCTTTTGAAAGCCAGCGTGGACAATCTTATGGCATTGATATCACCTGGAAAGTGATAATTTATTTAAATAAAACAGACTTTACCAAGGTGATGGAAACAATGCTTATACTGCCCTGACAAATAAATGTGTAAATGACATGCGAGAGTTGAATTGGTTTTGCTTACATCATTGCGCGTAGAACTGCTTATTTCCTTTTCTGAAGAATGTTCTTTGTCCGCTTAATTGAACTAGACTCTATAAATGTTCAATGGTTCTCATGAACCATTTGTGAAAGAAAAAAAAGAAGAAGTCTGTTAAATTTATTGGTTTGCCATTCCAACAGGGGCTGGTTCCCCTTTAAATTGTGCATGCAACTTTGTTAGCAAACCTCTTATTTTGTTTGGCAGAGTTTATCTGTGTTGTGACTTCAGATAATAACAATGACTGATTTGGTCAATCTTTCAAAAAGTTTTCTGTATTCCTGGGAGTAATAATCCTAATCATCATTTAAGTTTAGTTGACAGAATATCTTTCTTGCTTATTTCTTAGTTCATATGAACCAAACCTGCCTCATTCCTCCCCTTATGAGAGGTAGTTAAGTAGTGTATGAGCCCTAGTACTGGTTTCAAGATATGACTTATCACTGTGTATGTCTGTACTTAGTTTAGCTGAGAGTTCAAACAAGTGTTTATGGTGTTGAACTTTTTTCAATCATAATTTTTTTTTAACATCACTTTATTCTCGTCTGTCACATCTGATTTTGATATATTGTTCTATAATCACTTTTTTGGTCATCTTTTTCGATCATAATATGTTTTGCAGATATAATTGATGAATTGGTGAAGAATGGGAAAGAGATAGAGGCTGTATATTTTGCTTCTGAATCTGGTTTGACGAAAAGATTTTCTCCTGTGTCTCTACTCAAGTCATATCTTAAGAATTCCAAGAAGATCACAACTACTGTCTTGAAGAATGGCAATTATAGTGCAGCTGCAACGGTGTGTCTAATCTCTATCTATAATGTGTAATTCTAATGACATGAAATATTTGAGTCTGCAAGATTCTTAGTATTTTTTTTTTGCAGGATGAGTCAAGTACCTTGGAGTTGAATTCTATTAAAGCAATCATCAAATGTGTGGAAGATCATAAGCTTGAATCAGAATTTTCCCTTGACAGCTTGAGAAAACGGGCTTCTCTGCTTGAAAAAACCAAAGCAGAGAGGAAGAGGGGTACGTCAGCTGCCACTGCTACCAAGTCTCAAAACAAGCGAGGCCATGGTTCAAGTGGTGGCCGTGACAGTGGACCTACTCCTTATCGTCAAGCCAAAGCAGCCAAATTTTCAAACAATTATTCCTCTTTCAGCCGCAGGAATTCTGCCCCCCCTGCACAGCATAGCCCGGCTAGAAGATATTCTGGGCCATTCCACTACCCGAGCCAGAATGTCTATGAGGGCCCTGCAGCAGCCCCGTATGCATCAACTTATGGTATCTCCCACGCTCAAAGCCCTTCCGCAATCTCTCAGCAACCCTACCATCACTCTCAAAGCCCCAGTGCAATTCCTCAACAACTCTACTCACAGCCAGCGGAGAACATGAGTGCTGCCGGTTTCCGTGCCAGTGGTTCTTATGGAAGCCAGACCAATTATGGGGCATATGATTACGGCTCTGCTGCACCCGTTACTTACCAACCTTCACCCTACACTCAATAAGATGGGAGAAACCTAGCCAGATGTTAAGATTTTTATTTTTATTTGGTCTTTATGATTTCTGGATGTGGCCCTCTAATTTTGGGACCCGCCCCCTTCATCTCCCTTTCCCGTATAAAAGGTTTTTTTTTTTTGTCTTATCTCATGACTGGATATTATGCCCATGCCTGTAACGCAGATTTCCTTTATATGGAGCTCAAGCTGGATGTGACTTCAAATGGTTTAGCTATCGAGCATTGTATTCTTTCCAATTCTTTCCTTGGTTGGAGTCGCCATTGGGTGCATATGCTTGTTTTTTTGCCAAATTTTGGTTAATCAAACCAATTTCATTTGCTGCTTGCACTTTTTTAGGTGTAGAATATTCTTATTAGAAGGAAGAAATGAATAACAAGGATCATGTTAATTAAAGATTTAATTAATAGATTGGCATGCCTAATAGGATTAATTTGTTAAAATCATAACAATTTAGCAATCATGCTAAAAATCCAATTTAGTGAAAACATGGCTATAATGGGTAATAATTAGTTAGTCATTTAATTGATAGACGTCATTCTTCTGGCCACAACAGCTCAGAAAATAACTCACAAACATTGAGATCAATGGAGAAGCTTGTATTAGGTGTTCTATAAAATGGTTATTCATCATCTAATTTTCAATATAAACAAATAACTACACATGGATAGAGCAATAATGGCCCCTTATAGCTCATAATATTGCCACCATTTTGCATACAATCGCCTCTACTAGCACAACCTCTTAGTTAATTTTTTGAGCCTGGTGACAGGATTAGATGATAATAGATAGTTTAACTAAACTCTAGTTAGATAACATTGTCTTCTTCTAAAAATATATTCTTTTATTAGAGCTTAAATCTATCTAATACTGATTTGAGGATTATCTTGCTAAAAATAAAAAACACAACTTTGAACAATAATATTATGGTAATCAATAACAATATTTAGGCTTTGATTGATTAACTTAATGAAAACTAAAATGAGTTTAAATAAATTGATCAACTGCTCGTTTTTGTCTTGTTTCCTAGAAGAGAAGCCTAGGATATCCTTCAATAATAAACACTCTAATAGGAATGTTTGGAAGTTTTCAACCACATCCTAAGTATCACATATTTCATTTTATTGGTTCAAAGCAACTAAAACTTTTGAGACTATAACCGAGTCTTGAAAACTTATGAACACCTTTAACTTTGTCCCATTGAGGACTAATTTTTAATTTTAGTTGTTGTTATTTTTTATTTTAATTTGGTCCTTCCATTTTCTTAAAAAAATTGTCTTGATGGTTTATATTCTTAGATATAAAGGTCCCACAATATTAAGGCAAAGGCCTGGTGGTCGATTAATGTTCAATTTATCAAAATATGTTTAAATTAAGATTTTCCATCTCTTCTCCTCAAATTCACGATAGCCATTTTAAATTTCATAGTTGTTCCCTTATTTTATTGTTATTTCAAATTTGACCATTCTTTTTTTAATTACTAGGTTCTTATTCTAGGCCTTTTCTAAAATTAAAAATTATTTTTAATTTTATCGTTCAATAAAAATTACAAGTTATTTTTTATTTTATTTTTTAATTTTGTTCATATTTTTTTAATTCCTATTTTTAGTTTTTGATCATTTATTGAAATAAAATTGTCCTTCCAGTTTCATCATCAATTCAAAAATGCCAAACCTCCTGTATTTGTTTTATTTATACTTTTTTTCTTTTTTTTGCTATTTTTTTTGTTTTAGAGCCTTTTATAAAATTAATTTTTTAATTTAATTATTCAACATGATGTTAGTTAGGAATTGGATTATGTGTTTTTTTACAAGGGATCGTTGTTTTATAAACTAAGTCATATATTTTTAAAATTAACCTGGATTAATATTGTTCTTTTATTTATTAGGGTTTATTTTTCTTAACACAATTTTTTTGTTTCATTTTCATCCTTCAATCTCTTTTTTTAAAATTGATCTTCATGATTTATTTATTTTTTCTTTCAATTTAGTTGTCCCGATTTCATTACCAAGACCACAGGTGTGACAAGTTTTTTTTGGATCGTTACTTTTTTAATTTAAAATTTTATTAGTTTTATCCTTCAATATTTGGTTCGTTTTAAGATTGGGTTTTGCAATTTTTTATAATTTACTTTCTATTAGGTTATGTCATTCTCATAATCTGGATCATAAGGTTTGGTAGACTTGTTGTGTTTGCTGGTGTTTCTTTTTTCTTTTTTTCTTTATCTTATCATTCTTTTAAATTGTTTTCTTTTTTATTTTATTTTTCTACATTTGACCTTTTAGGAATGGGGTTATATTATTTTTCTATTTAATTTTTATATATTTATTACAATCTAATAAACCGACTTGCAACTTTAACATGCATATTCAGATTGATTTAAGTTTTTTTTTCTTCTATTTCAATTTTTTACATTTGGTTGGCTTAGAACTAAGCTTCATCAAGTTTTGTCATTTTTGTTGATGTTTTCTCATCCAAACTTTTTTTTGTTTGATTTAATCTATTTACCATTATTTTTTTTTATCATCTAATTAAATGTTATCAGCTTATTTGACTTTGTCACAAACATTTTTAACTTTTTAAGAGCACAATTGCAATATTTGGACAATTTTATTAACCAATATTTTTTTTTTCATTTAACTTGTGGCGTAGCGTTGGGCTATGGATTTAGTGATCACTACCACTTCAATTAGGAACAGTGAAAACTAATTTTTAGTCATCACTTCTTGTTTTTTTTTATTGTTTAATAAAAGTAGTTCCTTCCTTGAATTATAACAAAATAATTATGCAAATGAAAAATTGGCCTTTTTCTTGTTATACCGTAATTAGTTTATTGAGTTTCCAAAACAAAATAATCGCATCTTGAGGTCATCAACCAAAACTATCACTGTTTGGAGAAATACTGTTCATGTAGATTAATAAGTACTATTTATTGAAACAAAGTAATGATAATTTTGCTCTCCTCGTGAAAGAATTTGAACTAGTTATTAAAGATAAGTGTTTTTGTATTTTGAACTTACCGATCTTGATATATAATAATTAAAATATCTTTATATATAAAAATTTATAAATTGGTATGCAAGAGCTTTTTAGTATTTTTACACTAATTTTTTTGTTATTATTTAATTAGTTAAAGTAAAATTTAGTATTTTAATAAATATAACATATTATTTGAAAACAAAAAATAGCTAGCTCATGTAATGCTTATACTAGCGTACAAGTGGCGATAGTGCCATTCAGGTGGCATCTCCTAGTGACCAAACATTAGCTTTTGTCATGTTATTAAAAGCATTGCAATATCCTTTTCTTTTAAGGACAACGCATGGTGTTAATGAGATGTTGGTGTAATATTAATGATTTTTGTTTCTTTTCATTCTACTTTACTCTTTTCTCATCTTAAAAATCATGTTGGCTATACAAAATTTCAAAGTTGTCATCTAATTGAGATGTCAAATTCATTATTTATTTTTTTATTCATTTTGTGAAATTTTGAGTTATTTTTAATTTTATCCTTCAATCTCAATTTGTGATATATTATTTTTTTAATATAGTCCTTTGATAGTTTTATTTTTTGAGTTCTTTTATTAAATTGAATTTTGTTTTCAATTTCACCCTTCAATAAAAAATAAAATTTATTTTTTTTATTTTAATTTTGATGTTCATTCTTTCAACTGCTTTTTTTTAATCTTTTTGTATAATTGAATTTTTTTATTTTTAACTTCTAACATTTAATTAGTTAAGAATTAAAATATTTTTTATATCCAAATTCATTATTTCATATTCAATTAGTCGAAAATTAAGTTACATCATTTATTCTCTTTTGAAATAATATTTTTTTCAAGTTATCATGATCATTTTTTCTTAATTTATTCTATATGCTCTAGCTGACCATTTTTTTTTATCATTTAATTAAAATAAAACAAATTTATTTAATCTAGCCTCTTCTATAACTAACTTAAATCATGTATCTTTCTCAATGCTTTAGAACACATTTTATGAACATTATTTTTTATTTTTTATATGAAAGAAAAAGAATCCAACCCCATATCATAGGTCAGGTCCGCGACCAATACATCCTATTTATCAAAAACGCATGTGATCAATTGTTGTCAAACTATTTAGTGCTAAGAATTGAAAAGTCAAGTGCGGACCCTGCAATATGAAAGAACTCTGAAGAGACACACCAGAGACAGGCGAGTTCTGCTTTATATATAACCAAAGTCATTACAAGGGAGAAGAGAAAGAGCTTAATATCTATTTGTTACGAAGGGATACAAATTACTTACATGATTTTTTTTTTGAAAGATGTGTATATTATTTAAACATCAAAGTCTGGTGGGAGTAGTACATAAGCTACATAATATCTTACTATGACAAAAAGCCATATATAGGATAAAACGCAGTCTAAGAAAAACAAAAGCAAAGAAAACCATAGAATATCCATCCGAATAAGCTCAAAACTAAACATTCTTTTATAAAACAAAACAGAAATAACTCAAAGATATAATGGTAGAAGACACAAGAGCAAGGCCACAGAAAAATAGTGGAGTCAAAGCTAGGCAACAAATTCACTTGATCTCCGCACTCCTTGTTTAGCTATGCAATCTGCCATACAATTACTTTCACGAAAGATATGGGAGAAGGAAATTGAACTAAATTATGCTTTCAATCTATTAACAGAGGAGAACAGATTATGATGCTTCCAGGAACGGTTGTGAGGCTTAGTCATCCAGGTAATAACATTAATAGAGTCAGATTCTATGATGAGGTGTTAATGGTGGAAGAGACAATTAGATGATGATAGTTCAATGACTTTGACAATAGCCCTTAACTTAGCAATATTAGAGTCTAAAATACCAACTAGAACAGAGAACATACCAAGAAGATGGCCATAGTGATTTTGCAGCACACCACCTATTCCAGAGGGGCTTGGTTTACCAAGAGAGGAGTCATCCACGTTCCATTTAAGACTATTAATCATAGGAGGAGACCACATATTATTAATCCTGGGAGAGTGAGCATTGGACCACCGAAGCAAGCCATCTGCCATTCTGATTAGATTTGTAAGAGAGTATGGGAAATCAGAATGGATAGCTTTTAGCCATAGACATAGACGAGTGATAATAAGAAAGAATATTGAATCATAGTCAGATGTTTTCTATTGGAAAATCAGATCATTTCGAAAAAGCCAAAGAGACCAAGCCACTGAGAAA